CCAAGATGCGAATACCACAGATATCAATAGGCCAAAATGCGAACAGCCGAAGATACGAACAGCCGAAGATATCACAGCCTAAGATGCGAACAACTCAAGCTATCAATAACCCAAGATGCGAATAGCCCAAGACATCAACAGCTCAAGATGCGAACGTCACAAGATATCAACAGCTCAAGATACGAATAGACCAAGATGCGAACAGCCCATGATGCGAACAGCCCAAAATATCAACAGCCCAAGATACAAATAGCCCAAGATTCAACCAGCCCAAGATAACAATCAGCCAAAGATATCAACAGCCGAAGTTGTGAACAGCCCAAGATATCAATAACCCAAGATGCGAACAGTCCAAGACATCAACAGCTCAAGATATAAATAGCCCAAAATGTGAACAGGCCAAAATACGAACAGCCGAAGATATCACAGACAAAGTTGCGAACAGCCGAAGATATCTATTGCCCAAGATGCGAATAGCCCAAGATGCGAAGAGCCCAAGATGCAAACAGCTCAAGATGTCAACAGCCTATGATGCATATAGCCGAAGATGCGAACAGCTCAAGAAGCAAACAGCCCACGATATCAACAGCTCAAGATATAAATAGCCCAAAATGGAAACAGGCCAAGATACGAACAACTCAAGATATCAATATCCCAAGATGCGCACAGCCCATGATATCAACAGCCCAAGATATCAACAGCCGAAGTTGCGAACAGGCCAAGATATCAATAGCCCAAGATGCGAACAGCCCAAGATGCGAACAGATCAATGTATCAACAGCTCAAGATATGAATAGGTCAAGATCCGAACAGTCCAATATATCAACAGCCCATGATACGAATAGCCCAAGATGTGAATATTCTAACATGCGAACAGCCCAAGATGCAAACAGCTCAAGATATCAATAATAGAACAATTCAGAAGATAACAATTGACGTTACATTTAAATTTTTGAAGATAAAAGTTGACAAGGAAACAGTAAACTGGAAGCATAGGACTTATGGCTACATTTCACCATTTCAACTGTAGAATGATGAGAACTTGCCGCCAATCATTAATTTGATACAACTTGTTACCCAATCGTTGCAAGATTGTTTTCTTTATTTTCATGTATAACAATTGTTTATGACAATTGTTTATCATTGTATATAACTTTGTTTATTCTTTACTTCACAGCTCTGATAATGAGTGGTGAAAGATTGCAATTAGAGCCATTTTATATCACCTGTGTAAAGAAGGTGTACTGATTTCGGGGGGAGGGCAGAAGCAATAGAAATTTATGATGTGCAAGACACATAAATTGGCACCAAACGTTTGACATAAAACTGGCTCAGCAGTTGCAAGGAAGGTAAAACCAACCTCGAAGACAAACCGAAGACAGGGAGACGTTATGTTGTGCGAGATGAGGTTTTGCTTGATATGGTTGAACAACAACCAAGCACTCATACATTGTCGACAGACCGTGATACTTCACTAAGCATCATCAATTGACACCTCCATGAGCTTGGACTTGTGACTAAACGCTTTCGGGAAGAACTTATTGTCAAACAAAGGCAGTTGAAACAATAGGTGACCTTCAATGTTTTGCGGAATTTCGAGGGGATGTTTCAGAAGGTGAACACCGACATTTCAACAACCGTAGACAAAGATCCCGATTGAAAGAAGGTGATCCAGAAAGAGACTCAGCCAAAAATTCCGATGGAAAGAAGGTGATCCAGAGACTCAGCCAAAGATCCCTATGGAAAGAAGGGTATCTAGAAAGAGCCTCAGCCAAAAATTCGGATGGAAAGAAGGTGATCCAGAGACTCAGCCAAAGATCCCGATAGAAAGAAGGGTATCTAGAAAGAGCCTCAGCCAAAAATTCGGATGGAAAGAAGGTGATCCAGAGACTCAGCCAAAGATCCCTATGGAAAGAAGGGTATCTAGAAAGAGCCACAGCCAAAAATTCGGATGGAAAGAAGGTGATCCAGAGACTCAGCCAAAGATCCCTATGGAAAGAAGGGTATCTAGAAAGAGCCTCAGCCAAAAATTCGGATGGAAAGAAGGTGATCCAGAGACTCAGCCAAAGATCCCTATGGAAAGAAGGGTATCTAGAAAGAGCCTCAGCCAAAAATTCCGATGGAAAGAAGGTGATCCAGAGACTCAGCCAAAGATCCCTATGGAAAGAAGGGTATCTAGAAAGAGCCTCAGCCAAAAATTCGGATGGAAAGAAGGTGATCCAGAGACTCAGCCAAAGATCCCTATGGAAAGAAGGGTATCTAGAAAGAGCCTCAGCCGAAAATTCGGATGGAAAGAAGGTGATCCAGAGACTCAGCCAAAGATCCCGATGGAAAGAAGGGTATCTAGAAAGAGCCTCAGCCAAAAATTCGGATGGAAAAAGAAGGTGATCCAGAGACTCAGCCAAAGATCCCGATGGAAAGAAGGGTATCCAGAAAGAGCCTCAGCCAAAAATTCTGATGGAAAGAAGGTGATCCAGAGACTCAGCCAAAGATCCCGATGGAAAGAAGGGTATCCAGAAAGAGCCTCAGCCAAAAATTCCGATGGAAAGAAGGTGATCCAGAGACTCAGCCAAAGATCCCGATGGAAAGAAGGGTATCCAGAAAGAGCCTCAGCCAAAAATTCGGATGGAAAGAAGGTGATCCAGAGACTCAGCCAAAGATCCCGATTGAAAGAAGGTGATCCAGAAAGAGACTCAGCCAAAATTCCGATGGAAAGAAGGTGATCCAGAGACTCAGCCAAAGATCCCTATGGAAAGAAGGGTATCTAGAAAGAGCCTCAGCCAAAAATTCGGATGGAAAGAAGGTGATCCAGAGACTCAGCCAAAGATCCCGATAGAAAGAAGGGTATCTAGAAAGAGCCTCAGCCAAAAATTCGGATGGAAAGAAGGTGATCCAGAGACTCAGCCAAAGATCCCTATGGAAAGAAGGGTATCTAGAAAGAGCCTCAGCCAAAAATTCGGATGGAAAGAAGGTGATCCAGAGACTCAGCCAAAGATCCCGATGGAAAGAAGGGTATCTAGAAAGAGCCTCAGCCAAAAATTCGGATGGAAAGAAGGTGATCCAGAGACTCAGCCAAAGATCCCTATGGAAAGAAGGGTATCTAGAAAGAGCCTCAGCCAAAAATTCGGATGGAAAGAAGGTGATCCAGAGACTCAGCCAAAGATCCCTATGGAAAGAAGGGTATCTAGAAAGAGCCTCAGCCAAAAATTCGGATGGAAAGAAGGTGATCCAGAGACTCAGCCAAAGATCCCGATAGAAAGAAGGGTATCTAGAAAGAGCCTCAGCCAAAAATTCGGATGGAAAGAAGGTGATCCAGAGACTCAGCCAAAGATCCCTATGGAAAGAAGGGTATCTAGAAAGAGCCTCAGCCAAAAATTCGGATGGAAAGAAGGTGATCCAGAGACTCAGCCAAAGATCCCTATGGAAAGAAGGGTATCTAGAAAGAGCCTCAGCCAAAAAAATTCGGATGGAAAGAAGGTGATCCAGAGACTCAGCCAAAGATCCCTATAGAAAGAAGGGTATCTAGAAAGAGCCTCAGCCAAAAATTCGGATGGAAAGAAGGTGATCCAGAGACTCAGCCAAAGATCCCTATGGAAAGAAGGGTATCTAGAAAGAGCCTCAGCCAAAAATCGGATGGAAAGAAGGTGATCCAGAGACTCAGCCAAAGATCCCGATAGAAAGAAGGGTATCTAGAAAGAGCCTCAGCCAAAATTCGGATGGAAAGAAGGTGATCCAGAGACTCAGCCAAAGATCCCTATGGAAAGAAGGGTATCTAGAAAGAGCCACAGCCAAAAATTCGGATGGAAAGAAGGTGATCCAGAGACTCAGCCAAAGATCCCTATGGAAAGAAGGGTATCTAGAAAGAGCCTCAGCCAAAAATTCGGATGGAAAGAAGGTGATCCAGAGACTCAGCCAAAGATCCCTATGGAAAGAAGGGTATCTAGAAAGAGACTCAGCCAAAAATTCCGATGGAAAGAAGGTGATCCAGAGACTCAGCCAAAGATCCCTATGGAAAGAAGGGTATCTAGAAAGAGCCTCAGCCAAAAATTCGGATGGAAAGAAGGTGATCCAGAGACTCAGCCAAAGATCCCTATGGAAAGAAGGGTATCTAGAAAGAGCCTCAGCCAAAAATTCGGATGGAAAGAAGGTGATCCAGAGACTCAGCCAAAGATCCCTATGGAAAGAAGGGTATCCAGAAAGAGCCTCAGCCGAAAATTCCGATGGAAAGAAGGTGATCCAGAGACTCAGCCAAAGATCCCGATGGAAAGAAGGGTATCCAGAAAGAGCCTCAGCCAAAAATTCGGATGGAAAGAAGGTGATCCAGAGACTCAGCCAAAGATCCCGATTGAAAGAAGGTGATCCAGAAAGAGACTCAGCCAAAAATTCCGATGGAAAGAAGGTGATCCAGAGACTCAGCCAAAGATCCCTATGGAAAGAAGGGTATCTAGAAAGAGCCTCAGCCAAAAATTCGGATGGAAAGAAGGTGATCCAGAGACTCAGCCAAAGATCCCTATAGAAAGAAGGGTATCTAGAAAGAGCCTCAGCCAAAAATTCGGATGGAAAGAAGGTGATCCAGAGACTCAGCCAAAGATCCCTATGGAAAGAAGGGTATCTAGAAAGAGCCACAGCCAAAAATTCGGATGGAAAGAAGGTGATCCAGAGACTCAGCCAAAGATCCCGATAGAAAGAAGGGTATCTAGAAAGAGCCTCAGCCAAAAATTCGGATGGAAAGAAGGTGATCCAGAGACTCAGCCAAAGATCCCTATGGAAAGAAGGGTATCTAGAAAGAGCCTCAGCCAAAATTCGGATGGAAAGAAGGTGATCCAGAGACTCAGCCAAAGATCCCTATGGAAAGAAGGGTATCTAGAAAGAGCCACAGCCAAAAATTCGGATGGAAAGAAGGTGATCCAGAGACTCAGCCAAAGATCCCTGATAGAAAGAAGGGTATCTAGAAAGAGCCTCAGCCAAAAATTCGGATGGAAAGAAGGTGATCCAGAGACTCAGCCAAAGATCCCTATGGAAAGAAGGGTATCTAGAAAGAGCCTCAGCCAAAATTCGGATGGAAAGAAGGTGATCCAGAGACTCAGCCAAAGATCCCTATGGAAAGAAGGGTATCTAGAAAGAGCCTCAGCCAAAAATTCGGATGGAAAGAAGGTGATCCAGAGACTCAGCCAAAGATCCCGATAGAAAGAAGGGTATCTAGAAAGAGCCTCAGCCAAAAATTCGGATGGAAAGAAGGTGATCCAGAGACTCAGCCAAAGATCCCTATGGAAAGAAGGGTATCTAGAAAGAGCCTCAGCCAAAAATTCGGATGGAAAGAAGGTGATCCAGAGACTCAGCCAAAGATCCCTATGGAAAGAAGGGTATCTAGAAAGAGCCACAGCCAAAAATTCGGATGGAAAGAAGGTGATCCAGAGACTCAGCCAAAGATCCCGATAGAAAGAAGGGTATCTAGAAAGAGCCTCAGCCAAAAATTCGGATGGAAAGAAGGTGATCCAGAGACTCAGCCAAAGATCCCTATGGAAAGAAGGGTATCTAGAAAGAGCCTCAGCCAAAAATTCGATGGAAAGAAGGTGATCCAGAGACTCAGCCAAAGATCCCTATGGAAAGAAGGGTATCTAGAAAGAGACTCAGCCAAAATTCCGATGGAAAAAAGGTGATCCAGAGACTCAGCTAAAAATCGTGATGGAAAGAAGGGTATCCAGAAAGAGCCTCAGTCAAAAATTCCGATGGAAAGAAGGTGATCCAGAGACTCAACCCAAGATCCTGATGGAAAGAAGGAAATCCAGAAAGAGACTCAGCCAAAGACCTCGATAGGAAGAAGGGTATCCAGAAATTTTTTTTACGTATTTATAGTTTTTTTTTTAACTTATATAAAAGACGACATTCTTGTAGATGTAATTATGGATAATATTATACATTAATTACTACTTTTTTTATTAATAACTATTTGTGCTCAGTTGTTGACATTAATAGCTATCTGCTGATGTGTTAAAATTTTGGAGTAATGAAATAATAAAAATTTTAAGTTCATCTTTCTGACAGATGTCACGATCTGTAAACTTACGAATAATGATATGTGTTAGATGAACATGAAAAGATAGCATTTTGATGAATAATCGTAAATTATAATCTCCGAAATCTCTAAAACTGCTTCTCTGACGTCGCAATTATTATTGTTTAAAATTGGTTAAACTGCTGCCTTTTTAATTTAAGAAATAAGTTTGATATATTCACTTTCTGTTTTTTTATCTATTTATAATGATTTATATTTCTGCCTCGATAAACATTAACTTGCCGCTTGTTATGAATAATCAAGAGTGTTCTCCCCTTGTTTTGTTACTCTCGTCTTTGAGAGAGCTATTTCTGTTTACTGGGACTATAAAAGGACACTATACGAAAACCTCGTATTCTGGGTTGAATAAAGTTTTCTTAAGGCCTACACCTGAGTACTTTTGTTATTACACCGCGTACCTGTCCTGAGAACCAAACCAATTCTGTACATTTATTTCGGCTGCGTGCCAATATCTGATTTTCTGTGAATGATCTTCCTGTTCACTTAGCGATGTTTCTAGACGCCCTCCGTCTTCCTTTTTTGCTTATGATGGTACCTTATGAATGGTAATAGAAAGATTATTGGTTCTTATGACGTGTTCATATCTTTATGGTACCACTTCCTGACGGAGATTAGGTCTTCCAATGCGCCTGCATATTGACTGATAGTGTCTTAGCACTTTTAATATATATGTATAACTTGTTGTACTTTACACGGCTGAAGTTCATATGTTGATATTTTTCTTAACTAGTCTCGACTACGGAAGTCATTATCACGAACCAATGTGGTGCCTGTGTGGTAATTATAATCCCTTTGTCTACATCCTGGTATTCTCTCGGAAGCTGGACGTTTGAAACGGTAATTGGGAACGAGGCCGCACTACATATATATATATCTATATATATCTATATATATATATATATATATATATATATATAAAACAGAAGATGTCTGTGTGTGTGTGTCTGTCTGTGTGTCTGTATGCTATTTATGCACATCCACATTTTTCGGCTAATTTCGATGAAAGTGTACATACATATTTCAAATTTATCAAAATAGATCAAAACCAAATTTTCAATATCCAGCCAACCCCCACCGTGAAGGTGGGTACGACTTTTTTTTCAAAAAACAAGGCAAAGTTACACGCGAACAAAATTTTTACTGGTTGAGCTGATGTTCTTTGCACTTAATACAAAACATAGCTCATATTACGAGGTTTATGAAGAGTCTTTGATAGTTTTTCTTCGACACTGGTGTCACACAAAAAACTGCAAAAATCTGTAAAAAAAAATCGGGTTTTTCGTACTAACTAAAATAACTTCCCCCATTTTTTATCCGATTTTCTTCAAACATGTCGCAAAAAAATTGCTATCATGTAAGAAATTAACCTAGTGTGGTTTTTAGTCTTGCTCTCTTCCCCGCGTATAACGGAAAAGTACAAAAAACTGTTCAAATAGCCCATTCGGCCATAACTGCCTGATTTTAAATCCGGTGCCTTCTAAATTTGCCATGTAAATTGTATTGCGTGAATGTAGACTTTAGATTATTTCAGTTAAATGGACGAATCTGCAACAAACTAGGCCCAAAATCGACTTTTGCCATTTAGCCACCCTAAATTGACATTCGAACAACCTTTGATTCTTTGAGAATGATTATTAAAGCGTTAAAAAGGAAAGATTCCCGAAGAACCTCTTATTAACCGCAGCTTTATAGTAAAGGTGCGAAGAAGCAAGGGGTGGGGCGTTCATGCAGTTGCACTTGCAGTTGAATCAAGCTCTGACGCTTCATTCCTGTTTATTTTATTTGTATTAGATTTGTGAACAATGCCATACTATTTGAAAGTTATTACAGTCATAGGAAATTTACTGAATATCTAAAACATTGAAACAATTTAGCCCCAAGCAACGACCCACACAAGAAGCTTTTATCGATGGAATTATTTTATTAAGAACACTCAAACACTTGAGAAGGACACAACGTAAAAAAAGATGAGGTGGGGGAGTACCTTAGTATACCAACTGATGATGCATGCAAGCGAGGACGCACACTCCCTATACCTGCAAGGTGCGGGTATACAGGGGGACGGTTATACAATTGCAGGCTTGTACATTCGAACAACGCGGGGTACCTCCGCTAGTATATATATATATATATATATATATATATATATATGTATATTTTTAAGCGTTTCACCCCAAGCAAGGCGAGAAGCCACTAGGACGCAAGGGGTTACAGAAGATTTGTATATATATATATATATATATATATATATATATATATATATATATATATATACTAGCGGAGGTATGTCACAGTTATTATCCGAAAGTTGCAATGAAATAACTGATCCGACGTGCAACTTTCGGATAATAACTGTGACATTCCTGTATTTATTGAACAATTTAGTTCATGCCACATTGACTGAAAAACCTACCAGTACAAAAGAATTCTCCTACTACGATATTAGTACAAAAACGCACAATCTTAAAATTTAAAAATTCAGCCTCAGCGTTGCGACCGCACGCTCCCAAAAAATTTCTTACAATTAACAATAACACATTTCTTAAAACATATTTCGGATTACATATTTTCGTTGTCCTGTTATTACCGAGAAATAAAAAACAAAAACAAATCTATTTCCATACCTGAAGATGTCTGTAGGAACAGATGAAAGCTTGTAAAAAACTAAAAAAGACCTTATGCAACTGGAATTTATAAACAGGGATCATAACATTTATATACAGCTTCGGGGTTAATGTACTTTATTAAATTTGTTTGCGAAGATGTATTCTCGCCATTTAAATCATTAACTTCTATATCTGTTTTTTGCATGAATGATTCATGTAATATATATATATATATATATATATATATATATATGAAGGAATATAGTTTTATGGTTTGCTATATTTATGGGATACATTACTCAAGATAGAGCGCATGTAAATATAAAAGGGAATATTGAAGTCAACACTCAGAGGCGACAGACTTTTTCATGCTAGACGCAATCAACAGGCCTGATTTTAGAAGATGGATTAAATCCGACAGATTTTTAATTTATTTGTTTAACTGTTATTTTCAATGGATAATCATATTTGAGTCGATGGTCTGTTTTTGTTTATTTATTAAACAGTATATTTATTTATTTACATCTACCGGCCTGAATATTTGAGAAATCTTGTTAGAAAAATATTCGACATAATAGTAATTGAAAATTGATTTTTTGTAGTGATCGATTAATCAAAAATTTCTAAAATTTAAAAATGCGAAATGGTAACCATTTTGCGTGTCAATTTTGTTTATATTCGAATAATGCATATATTTTAATGTACACATTAGTCGCACTAAAAGAGGTATCCTCATATATATATATATATATATATATATATATAATATATATATATATATATATATATATATATATAATATATATATAAAAAAAAAGAGGTTGTAAAAGAAAAGTCTGTATATTAAAAAAAAGAAAGTGAGGTGCCGCAAACGTTTTTTTTTTGTAATGTGGATGTTTTTTTAAAATTCAATTTTTTAAAAACATCCAAAAACGTTTGCCACCTTACTTTCTTCTTTTTTATATATATATATATATATATATATATATATATATATATATATAGTCAAACCTTCCCTGATGATCGGCTTAGGTGAAACCTTGGTAGGTTTGTCTGGCTCTCTAGGTTTGACTAGGTCTGCTCTACTTTTGTATTGAGCACTTTTTGAGTTAGTTGATTACTCGTATCGGGTTTTTTTTTTTTGGGCTTTGGACCTGTATGCTGTACGATTATTTTCGACAGACGTTCATGTTCATAGCTCTTTCTTTTTTTAACACCTTCTTTCCTTCGAGATTGTTTTGACCATTTGCAAATCAAGAAACCGAAGGTTTACCGAGACGAGTGTAGTTACCTCTCTCTCTCTCTCTCTCTATATATATATATATATATATATATATATATATATATATATATATGTATTATCCGTGGTAAATTTTTAGATCATCAATTTAGTTTGAGATGTTTAACCCACCTTTGAACAATTCATATCCACTACTGTGATGGAATATGTGACTCATTTGTTGCTACAAATATTAAAACTTCAAAAGAATTGCGATAAATGCATAAAAAGAAATTCATTTTGAAAGTCAATGAAGTTCCAGTAACATTCGGTGTGCAATCCAAAAATTGTTTTCTTAATTTTCCCAACTGAAAAGAGTTGACATCATATATTGATTTTCCAAGCGTATCTTGGATTTTCCAAGCCAAAAGCAATATCTTGTTTTTCTAATAACTTAGATGTAGCACAAAGAAAGTAATGGGCATCGAACTCACTATTCGACGTAACTGATCAAGCGTAGCTTAACCGTTACACCACGCCGAGGCCCCAAATGATTTTCCAAGACTACTTAGATGTGACACAACGCCGATTATGGGGACGTAACTGATCGAACTCACTAAGCCGAAATTGATCAACCAAACTTACAACCATTACACCACGCCGAGGTACCCAAATGATTTTCCAAGTGTAGCTGGGATTGGCATCATATATACCCGTTGCTCTTATATACTATCAAATACATCAACAAAATATAAGGGATTAAGCCATTTTAGGAGAAGAACTATTTATATGTCATCGGATGCGATATAAGGATAAAAAGAGAAATCCATGAGGATATAGCATATTATATAAGTACATGAAACAATTTACTGTTACAACGTCGAAAGATTCTGCTGATCAACGGTAATTGAAAACCAAGATATATATATATATATTTTTTTTTGCTCGGACTTAAACACAAAGCCCAAGTAGAAGAGCCACATTACTACTTCAACAGCTACCAATTCAAAGGAAGATAGAAGGAAGTGGTGGATAAGTAGAGGGACACGCGCATGCTCCGTCCGTGAATTCATCCTTCTATATTTGCAGAGCGAGAATCTGTTCTGTCTTTCGTCTTTAAAAGGTAAAGGGAGAAATACGGAATGAGACCTAGTCATACGAAGAGACTGGCAGCCGTCAAATCGATCAACATGACAGCTCGGTATCTCCTCTCACCTATCAAATTACGTCGACTCAACAACTTGGAATTTTCAACCTCATTTCACTTGCTTACTTCCTTCACATTTCATTCTTACTTATTATAAACCGCAAACTTAAATTCATTCATTTAGAACGTAAAAAAATACACATTTTTTTCTTCGTCCCATATTACGAAAATGCAAAATATTTTCATATTTATTTCCTGACTAGCAGTATAACCCGTCTTCGACCGGGTGTTTCATTACTGTGAATTTTTGCCGTTCAATTGGAGCAGTTTAAATTTAAAGTCAGCCCACCCGAAAATCAATATTAGTAACAACAATTCGGTGCAACTGAGGCACATCCCCAAATGGGGGTCTAACAATTTGAATGGAGGGTAACCCTGAAAAGGGCTTTTTTGCGATTTCAGTCTTGCAAGGAAGGAACCTCTTCCATGGACCGTCATAATAATAATATACGATAATTTTTATTTATAATTTTTTTTTTTAATTCTAATAATCTTTTGCGTTAGATTTGATTGTACGCTGCTTTTTACAGACATTAAATTTTGTCTTTGATTTTCACTCTCCGGCAGTATTCTCATAATATTCAGGCCGGTAAACGAAAAAAAAAAATATACTCTTTAATAAATAAAAGGCAGTATCTACACAAATACGAGTATCCACAAAAAAAAAAAAGTTGAAGTAACAAAAATCTTTTTTATTAATAAAAATTCACCCCATTTTTTTTTACAAATTGCTTGGTTTACGTTAGGATAAGAAACTAAGCAGATATGTCTATTTCAAGAGTCAGAGAAAAACTTGTGTTCAAAAGGACTTTTCAACTTTGACGAGAGGTCAAAGGACATCAGAGCTAATGACAAATCCTGCCAGACAACGCATATATTTTTCACTAATAAGATTTCTCGAATATTCAAGTTGATAGACGAATGTGTATATATATATATATATATATATATATATATATATATATATATATATATATATATATATATATTAAAATTGATTTATTTAAAATATGGTTTTTTTTCGCTACACAGTTCTAACCATGTTTCAAAAATGGAAGCTAAAAGCTACGAGTTTAATTTTGTAATTAAATTAAAGACAATTAGTTCCATTTCATCCTCAAGCGAATTTTGGAGTAACTTTTAAAATTACTGGGTTTTAAAGACACAGCTAAAATCATAATTCACGTTTCCAAGGTTACAGATAAATCTACTTCAACTGGACAAGGGGTGTCTGGGTGTTCATTATGTCTGTATTATTGTATCTGTTATTGGTAAGGGGGTAGGGATATATATATATATATATATATATATATATATATATAATATATATGAAGAAATATACTCTTAAGGTGTGCTATATTTATGGGATAAAGTGCTCAATATCAGAGATAGTGCGTGTGTAAATATAAAAGTGAACATAGAAGTCAACACTTAGAGGCGACAGTCTGTTTCATGCTAGATGCAATCGTCAGGCCTGCTTTAATTAATACACACACACACATATATATATATAAATATAAAAGTCTGTCTATATTTCTGACATTAGGCATTATGTACATTATTTACATTATTCGGACTATTGTCCTCATCTTTGTCGCCATATTTATCACAACGTTTCGGCCGTTGTACGCTCCGGCCTTCTTCAGGTGGTTGGAATTCCGAACTGAACCCTTTATTTCGCTCACTGAGTTAGACTGTTCTAGTTCCACGTGCTATGTTTGATGGATATCAGTTATCTCCTGCTAATTTCCCTCTGAAAGTTCTCCACTGCCTTAACCGGGTATTGAACTCACACTCTTTGGGTCCCGTTACTGGATCTAACCAACGCCTTTATTCACTGTGCCATGTGTTCTTGAGGACATCTGGGTATGAATTTAAACCTAAATTATAAACCTAATGTCTTCAGCAACCATTTTTACCAGTGCTCATATTGCAATTTTGCTGTTATCATTTCATGTTTTTACCAGAGCTCATATTGCATAGAGGAGAACATGACTAAAGACTGTGTGTACGCTATCCCATGCAGCTGCGGAAAGGAATATAAAGACAGGCCGCCCCCTCAAGGTAAGGCTTCAAGAAAACCAGAAAGCTGTAACATGAGGGGAAGTGGAAAAATCAGGCATGGCTGGCTACATATGGAGAGAGAAGGGAGATCACCGCCCTCTGTGGGATCATGTTGAGTTCATAGACAAGGAACACCACTGGAAAATTCGTAAACTTAAGGAATCAGCACATATGCTAAGCCACAAAAATCTCCTGAGCCGACCAAGCATAGAAATAAATACAATATGGGAACCAATCATAAGGAGTGCCAGAGATAAGCAATGATAACAACAAAGTTGCAATATGAGCTCTGGTAATGTGTGTGTGTGTGTGTGTGTGTGTGTGTGTGTGTGTGTGTGTATTAATTTATTTTAAATAGATATTCATATTTGAGTAGATGCTCTGTTTTTATTTATTTATTTATTTATTAAAAAGTATATTTATTTATTTGCATATACAGGCCTGAATATTCGAGAAATCTTGTTATTTGGGCTTTGTTTGATCCGGAGGTCCTACGTGGACGAGTGCTCTATGTATGGTACATCAGATTAACGACGCTTTCCCTAAGGAGACGCAAATTCGAATCCAACCGATTATAAGACATATACGCACTCAGTTACGCCACTCTTCGTGGCCGAGCGGTTTCAAACACACCAGTCGGATGCTGGTTTTTCCTATAAAGTGGTCGAAGGCTCGTTCTCTGCTAAAGAGTAAATTTTATCTAACTTTTTCGACTATGCAGATCGATAGACTTATTGCACATTATCTGAGAAACGGGGAGTTTATCTAAACACGGTTATTCACTAAAAATAACGTTTGAAGTAATAAAATTATATATATATATAGGATTTTTTATTAACATAATAAATCATTTGTAATCTTAGCTTTGAAAAACATTAAATTAAAAAGATTCTACAATTTCAATTTGTTACCTTAACGATAAAATTTATAAAGCCATATTTGTGGTAATAATATTCTTTAAGAAATATAAATATTTCTTTGACTCGAAATGCAGTCGATGTCATGAGTGCCGAATATCTACTGCATAAATACGTTATTATGCAATTATATAAATTTACTTAGTGAAACACAACAGCGTAAATTTTACGTGTCAAAAATCTGTGGTATAACTGATAAGGTTGCCTCTGCCATAAAGTTGAAATATCTATGATAAGTGAGTGTCACATATTTCTTATACATAATACTACCTCTGTTTTATAATGCTTGTATTTAGCGTTTGAAATGTGCATGTAGATGTATTAGTGAAGCCACAAGTAGTAATAAATAAAGTTATATATCATCGACATAGATGAATGTTATAAATTCTTCGGCTCGTGTAGAAACATCTGTACAAAACTAACTTTTCGAAATATGCTATTTCAATTTTACTTGACTTTATCAGCGAGACGACCTCTAAGGCTGACCCCGTCCGGGCGGGGCCTGTTGGGCCCGAATTCTTGAGACATATTTTTTGGTGCACAGTTTTTTGGCAAGCAGATTCCTGCTGATAAAACCAAAGTTTCTGGAAGACAGAATCGACGTCATTCAAAGTTCCGATTCAATCGAATAGATTTTTTTATGATTCTGCATGATTCTGTATTCTGGACCACACACACACACACACACGCACACATACGCACACACATACATGTACAGATTGCGATTGATAAAATGTCGTCTAAATTACGCAAAAAAAAAAAAAAAAATAACACTGACATCTCATTTTAACGGATATATTTACCAAAATTACACTAAAATATCTTGAAATACAAAAAGTAGATTTGTTCAATAAAATCGCCATTGGCTTCAACCATGCCCCCCTGACAACTTCGGAGTCTCCTGCAGCTCTTCTGTTTAAGTTGGTGAATGTTGCCATAATCCTTGGCTTCATCTTTGCTGCTACAAGGAGTTTTGTTAGTCCTTCATCCACGCATAATTATCATGGGAGTTGCTGTCTGGTGAGTTAGGTAGCAACATGTAAGGGGTAATGTGGTCGCAGAAATTGTCTGACAGCCATGACTGGCTTCTCCTGCTTGTATGGCATTGTCCTGTTTTCAGATATAGGTTCTTCCAGCAGCCATTTTCTTGACTCAGGGCAGCACTATCTCCTTGTCCGTTACATTCAAGGGAAACACGCCCAAAATGTAATTGTTTTGTACTTTAAATAAGAGAAAATTATTATACATGGTTAAAAAAGCGAGACATTATTTTTTATTAGAATTTTTTTTATGACAAAATGATAAAAGAATGATTAAATTTTGCTCGCGTCAAAATATCCTCCTTTAATCTTGATTACCGCAGCACAATTTTTTAGTGTTCGTTTGCTAACTGATTCAATTCTTTTTTCAGTGACTCTAAGAGCTCTTTTTTATTTTATTTTTTTTTCAATCTTCTGTCAATTTCATCCCGTATTAATTCTGGTGGTCGCTTCAATCTTTTAAACTGTAATGTATACATATACATATTATATACACATCTATCTATCTATCTATCTATCTATCTATCTATCTATCTATCTATCTGTGTGTGCATGTGAGTATGTGTGTGTGTGCGTGCGAAAAGGTTATCCGTTCACCTTCGTAAAACTAGTTTTTTAATGGATATTTGTTACCTTTTGAAAAAATGACCAAAAAATGGTCGCTGCAAACGACAATGATTAAATTAGAAAAAGACAAAAATATCTTTTTCTCGTACAAAAAATGGAATAAAAAAGGCAAGAAAATGACAACAAAGGAAAAAAAGAAAAAAGAAAAATAAGAGATTATTTAAATATGAAGAAGTAATCGAAACATTTTATGAATCCCAAAGCAATACAAATGGTGTAAGTGCCTTAGAATTTCTGGATGCAACAACAATAGAGATTTTCCCACTGACTACTATTACGAAGAGTTATTGAAATTAGAACAA